GGGGGAGAATTCTTCCTGTTCACTGTGTGCTCTACGTTCCACTTTGCAGCCTGTTTACTTTGCTTGGGGCAACTTCAACAAATTCACCCCAGCTCATCTTTTTCATGCCGATTGCAACGTGTGTTCAAGTGCAGTTCCAGTCTTATTTTGAAGAACAAAACAAAATAAAAATAAAACTCCTGCTCCTGTGCTTTAAAACAGCAGGCCTGCCTTTCCGTGTACAGTATGTTTTTCCCCACATGTGGGAGTGACCTGAGTCCAAAGCCATTTCACTAATTAATGCGATTTGACTATTTTAATCCTGAAAATTGTCGCAACATAGGAAACACCACCTCTCCTATACTTAGATGCTTAAATGTTTCTCGCGCTCTCATTTGGATTGGATCAAAATGTTTTTTAGGCCACGAAGGGTGTGTGTGTGTGTGTGTGTGTGTGTGTTTTGGTGTGTGTGTATGTTAATGAGATGGCTTGCATGCATGCTCTTTAGCCTGACAACAATACTAACCAAGCGGGGTTGAATGCACGCAGAAGTGTGACGGCGATTTAGTGTGTCTGGATGAGAGGCACGAGTGGGTCGATTGCCGCATGTTGGATGGATTTAACGGCCCCATTTTGGGGGGGCTGTAACCGCTGTCGTTTCCCCACAGGTGGCAGCCAGCAGAGCAGCATCAGTCTCAAGTTGGCCTCAGTCTAACCTTGTTGGTCCATATGTGTCTGCTGCTGCTACTACTGGCCCTCCCCTCCTGTCAGCACTTGACAACCCTCCCCCATCTTCTAAAACTCCATGCTCTTTTCCTCGATTTCCTCTGCACTTTTATTCCTCTTTGATTGTCTTGGCTCATTCCTGTGTTCGCTTCCTACTCCTTTACAATATCCTCCCCCTTCAGCTTCCTCTACCCCTCCCGGGCTAAGGGGCACTCTCCCCCTCCCAGGCTCCCGGTACCGCGGTTGTGAGGTGGGGAGCGAGGTGGTGGGGGGGCCGGGTGTCAGTGTGCTTCTCTGTGTGTCGCTCCAGGTTATGGGCTGGCGCAGGATGAGCTTCTGTCACCGGCCTCCATGCAGTACAACCTGCCCTCGCCTCTGGGTGCTGAGCCCTACTGGCAGGAGGTCTCCAGCCTGAACTGCGCGCCCATCGCCACCACAGAGGAGGACACCCTCATGGAGATGTCAGACGTGCAGGTGTGGCCCTCCGGCAACTCCCCCTCCCTAGTGCCTGTGGAGGATTCCTCGTTAGAGTGCAGTAATGCCGACGACTCAGAGGGCCTGCTCGGGTTGCCCTATGGAAGTCTGGGTCGGCCTGCCAGTCGGGCTAGCGCCGCCAGCGGAGGGGGCGTCGTGCTGAGCGGCTCGATCGAACTGCCCGAGGACGATTCGGAGACGGGTGTTGACTCGCTTAGCACCGCCACGCCGGCCTCGCTTGGCGGTACCATCGCTGGTATCAATCTTAACGGACTGAACAATGGGCAGGGGTCAGAGGCGAGTTCGGAGATGTCGGCCGTCACCAGTACAACTGGTGGCAATGGAGGAGGACGAGGAGGAGGAGGGACTCAGAGTTCAGAGGAAGGGCTTTCTCTTGTTGCAGGACAGCAAAGGTTGTATGCCCGACTCAGTGAGTCACCCGGTCTCACCTGTGTTGCGGATCGTAATGGTGACAGGTGAGTTTGACCCCGCCTGCCCACATTCATCCCGCCAGCAAAACAATCAGGGTGTCAAAATACAATTCAGATCTGACGTGGGGTCCATTGTGCCTGAAGGCTCATTCATACAAACTATTCTAAACAGCACCATAAAAACACGCTAGCAAGCTAATTTCAAAATCTTCACCAACATGGTGCCCGCGGGCACCAGAGAGCGCCCAAGGTCCACATGAGTAGGCAGCGGGCCTGTTCTAAAAAAAAAAAAAAAAAGAGCTTACTGGTGAAGTGATCATTTGAAAATGTTAACATTTGCAAAGATTTATAGAAATAAAAATGCAGCATATTGATAGAATTGTATTTTGGTGTGCATGAACCTTGAGTATGTGCCCCTCCTTTCCAGGTCATCTAATGGAGGAAATGGAAGTGGAAGCAGCTCATTCATTTCCTACCTCCAGGAACAGACAGGCCCAGGGTGGATCCCAGTCGCAGACCCGCAGACCTGGGTGGCCAACCAGCCAAAATCTCGGCAAGTCATTGACACCATGATATCGTCTTGCTGCAACGCCATGGACGGAGACCAGTCCCATTTGTCCCAGGAGGCTTTGCTGCAGCCTGTGAGGGACATGGGACACTCGGAGATTTTACGCGGGCACTTCCGGGGTACCCAGTCGTTTGAGAAGGGTTTGGGCTTCCCCCACAGGGCCCCAGAGCTGAGGGCCTGGGATGACGTGCGCTTCAAAGGACAGGTGAGCAAACACTGGGCATTACTGCTAGCAAGCACTAATGGGAAAAAGGGGAAACCAATTCCTCATTACTTTAAAGGTGCATCAGCAAATCTTCTGCAATTATTTTTGTGATTCTTCTGATGTAAGCATAAAAGCAGTGATGAAAACAATTTTTCACATTGCCTGTGTTTTGCGGTAGTATTAAACCGCTATGCCAGTAAAAAGTGACCCTGATCATCGTTTATTTTTGCAGACAGGCATTCTCCAGCCCTTGGACTGGATCTCATTAGCTTGCAAGTGTTAACTATGACAAAGCCCAGTTCAGTTAATATATGTCAAAATATAAATATTATTTTTCTCCACACACAAATACTGAAATTCACAAGATGCTTTCAAACACAGTATATCCAAAATCCGTACACATTAAGTAGGCATATACAGTCTGAGGCCGAAGATGGACACAAACAGCATGTGGGGCCAAATATAGAAAGAATTCTCACTGTGCCACTCATGTTACAAACTCCCCGCCCAGGTCCCTTCCCACGTGTTGACGTTCATGACATCACACTTCAAAGGACAACCACAATTTTGGAAGTGTGGAAGAAAGCACAAATAGACGTTTGTTTCCGGAGCATCTGGGCACTTTGTATGGTGGTGACAAAGCTTTGTTTAATTTTAAACTCACAGATACGTTATTTTATTGCAGCTTATATCATGTTGACGTTTTACTGCGTTTGTACGTGATAATCTGTAAGACACCCAGGTAGTGCTAAAAGTAATGTCTCCATCAAGAATGGCTGCGTGTGGCTGTCCAGGGTCACTGAATGATCTCGGGGTATTTAAAGCTCACAGATCACATGGTCAAAGCGACAAAGAGGTGGGAGTAGAACCCCCGCCACCAGAACCACCAAAGTCATTGACAGGGTCCTCCTGATCCACCAGGGGGAAGCAATCGAGTCCTAAGGGAAAGGGCCCACTGCCCCGCTTTATGGAAGGATCGAAACCAAAGAGCAAAAGTGTGACGGTGAAGGCAGGCCGGGGGCTGCAGCTGTCGCTGGGTTCGCTTTTTGGGATTGAAGAAGACGCTGAAGGTTTGGCGAGCGCTCTGCGGGGTGCATGTCAAGGGGCTGCGCGGTTCTGTGGCTGATCCAAGCGGGGCAATGTGGGCCCTGGTGACGGAGCTCCTCTTCAGCTTGGTGCTGTTGGCCTTTCTGGTCATCAGCTGTCAGAACATTCTACACATAGCCAGCGGCTCCGTGCGCTCGATCCTCACCTACGTCCACGCTCAGCTTGACCGCGAGCTTGGCGAGGGGGAGGGCGTGGCTGACGAAGAGGAGAATGTCACCACCAGGGTGGTTCGCAGGAGAGTCATCCTCAAGGTACCTCAGGAAGCGAGGACAGGAATATTAGCTGCACTGTTTGACTTTACCGTAAAGAGGAATTTGATTTTTTTTTTCTGCAGAACTCTCCGTTTCAGTTATATTACGTTAAATGTATTTTTGAACGAATGTTTTGGACCACACGCAGTCGTGGGATCCCATAATGAACAAAAGTGTTCGTTTCTGATGAAGCTGTGACATTTCTATCATTGAGTCGGTGTCATTGGTTTGGTTGGAGCTACTTATTTTAAGCAGATTGTTTTGTAGAACAGCTGTTATGTCCAGTGGGATACGCTGTGGTTGCTGATAAATCATCATTTTGTTTTTCAGAAGGAAAAACTAATAATGCTCTGCAATTAGTAGCAAATAGACATAGTTTGCTGTTGCACAGGAAATTTGAAAACCGTTAATCTAACTGCTTTGAAGTGTTGCCAAAAGGAATTACATGTAGGTCATGCTTTTGGGGTGATTATCTGTAGGGATTGCACTTACTTTTTTGCTGAATTGTTTAGTTTTTGTTTTTGACAGTATTTTAGTCAGAAGTCAGGTGAAGTGTTTGCACACAGGGGCCAATCTACATGCTTAGTTAAAGAAGAACTTTACAAGTGATCTAATTGCAAATGCATAAAGAATGTTTTCAGTAAAGGACATTTTATTCTTACATATGAATTAAAATCATTATTTTCACTCTCTCAAGTAAACAACATGGCAGAGAAGTCATTGTTTATCATACCATCCACAGTCATGGTCTCATACACACAGAGTATATCAATCTTGCACACACACTCATAATACAAGCAGGAGCAACACTAAGTAAAAAGTTTAGCATTGTGAAGCACGAGGAGTTTTTGTGCCGTTGTGCTTTTTAGATATAAGATTTGAATGAAGGCGCCATCGATCACAGTATGAAAAAATGGCGTCGGCCATTGGTGACAATTGACCATTCTGATTGGCTACCGAATCAATGCAAGAGATCGACGTAGACTGCGAGATGGTAAACAAAAGCAAAGCAACAGGGAAAAAATGGCATTAATCATTTACACTCAGCCAAAGGTTGCTTTTTCTTTCGACTTGTTCCTGCTTGTATTCTGAGTGTATTGGGAAAGGTTCCATATACAGTATGTGTACTTCTTGACTGCGGATGGTGTGATGAACAATGACTTATTTGTTTCAGCGGGGCTTAAAATCATGTGAGTGATGTGTGCCCATGGCCACCCGTCAGTGAGGTGTTGTGTCACCCTGGCCACCCCACCGACATTTTTTTTGTGGCTACGCCCCTGTTTGCACTCTGAACTTTGACTGTTGATAATTCTGAACAGTGGTTACTGTCTACGTTAAATTTGGTGATCATGGATGTCAGAGTTACTTTTTTCACACACAACAAGCAGATCATCGTCAGTCTAATGCAGTTCCTTGAAGGACAAATCTGTTCACACAAATGTCATCCACCCTTTTTACTGTGCGTTTGATTCTCCTGAATGTTTTAGTCTACCAAAGGTAGGAATAGTGTGTTGATCACTTCCCTGTCCACAGGGGGATGAAATGGAAGATCTTCCCGGGGAACAGGTCAGCGAGGAACAGTTTATGGACGAGCATGGAAACATGATCACTAAAAAGGTCAGACACTTGTCATTGTTCTGTTATGGGGTGTAAGCATTTTATTGGGCAACTAACAATAGTAGGTATCTAAATCACGACAAAGCAATGCATGGTGATTTCTTCCCGCCGGTCAGAAAAAAAAAGCATTTTTAAAAATGATAATCATCAATTATTTATTTGGGGATTTACTAGTATTTTAATGATTGCTTTGAAGCGGATTAAGGGAGTATGTCAAAACGGGGCGTCTTTACGCGAATCTGAATATGAAACTCTGAAAATCTCTGCGGCCCACTCCAAACTCCACCGTTGTACGCGTCAGATTGTGCGAAAGGTCGTGCGCAGAGGAAAGGGCGAGGATGCCGTTCAGGACGTGAGCGTGGACGGCTCTCTGCAGGACGCCAACGAGCTGGAGGTGGACGCCGAGCAGTTCATGAGTTACGCCATCCTGGGCCGGGAAAGCAGCAAGGTGGGCTTCTGATCTGCAGCCAGTTGTCTCACCATTCCCGCCCCATCCCTCCTCCCCTACTTTTAGCCCAGATGGACCGATTGACATCAGATGATTCCGTCATCTGATGCGATGCTTTGATTTACATCATGTATCTTGGTGAGGCTTGAGCTCCTGGATCAGGGTCGCATCAAGATCACCAAGAAGCTTAACATGCATGAGCTTCACTCTTTGTTGATGTTGATGATGATAATTGTAAAGCAGTAGAGAAGAGGCGTGTGATGTCTGGTGGAACCTCCAAAGTTGAACACAATCTAGGAAGATGCACATTGAACTCCATGTTGATTTTTTTTTCCCACCCATCCATCCACCCATTTTGTATAGCGCCTGTCCTCAGCTGGAGTCTGTTTGGCTGACTTTGGGCAAGAGGCAGGGGACACCCTGTACTTGTGGCAAGCATTTACAGGGCACAAATGACGGTTAACACTCACATTCACACCTATGAGCTATTTGGAGCCTTCATATGCACGTTTATGAAAAACTAGGCTGCCCTGATTTTTTTTTTCTAATGGCTAATAAAAAGAAATAAATGCATGTTTTGTTGTACTAAATAGGTCGTCGTCACACTTTTCCTTTCTTTCATTTATCACCACTTGGGCTTCCATGATGGCATCAAAAATTTGGCATCATTGTTTGTTTTTAACAGTAAATGTCATGTCAATTTAATCATCTCGCCACATTTTTGAGATTCGTCACTGTACCCGTTTTCTTTTTAACGTGTGAAGCATATTTTTCCCAATCATTTCACTCGAATTTCGTGTCGTGACACTTTTTGAGTGTTCACCTTCGGAGGTTCCCCTGTGATCTCTGCATGTAAGTGAAGCAAAAAATGCTCAGTCGCTGTCATTACTGCCAGCTAGAATCCTCACAAGTCACCAGTCGCACAATTCAAGTTTCCAGCTATTGTAACAATCACTAAACTGCACCTACCTCACACGTTTGTCCTGTTTGTTGACAAATGCTTCATGAATGTGTGACATTTAAAGTCTGTGGTACTTCAATTGAGACTGCGTGCTCTGTCGCTCCACCCTTCATCTCTCCAGTCCACATAGCGTATGGTTCTTATCTACAGTTGCCAGCCTTCACTTCTGTCCTTGCCTGCCTGTCGATATATTTATATATATGTATATCATTTCTTTGTCCCCCCCTTGTTTCCCTCTTTCTTCACCTCTGACTTTTATTTATTCTGTCCATCCTTTTTTTTTTTGCCTCCCTGGTTTCCCTCATCATTTCACCTCACTAATATTCCCTCCCGCCTTTCATTCCGCCCCTGTCATCCCATCTCTTCCTTCGACTGTAGCCCGATACTGTGGATACTGTGAAGAAAGGTGCTCAGATAGTGAAATGTGCCAGCCTGCGGAGAGTTAAGCAGTGAGGCAGTCTGAGCGCTGCTTTCCCGCAGGTACGGGACTCACCCACAGTGCGCCTCGTTATGACGTGTGCTGGGCGAGAGCATTTAATCCACTCTCCTCCTGAATTAAATGCCACTGAATGTACCTTTAACTTCAACACTAATCCTATATTGCAATGTGATGCTGGCACAGCAAAACCGAAAGATGATTAGTTTTACCTCAAATATTATTTTTGATGAATAGCGATTTGTTTGGGTTTGAGTATACTCACTGGACATTTTAATAGGCATGCCTGCACAAACTAATGAAATCCAATATAAGTAGTCATGTAAATCCAACATTAGAGGGAGGGAGGGAGAGAGAGAGAGCAAGATAGGGAGGTAGGGAAGGTATCTTTTTATGTTGGATTAATTTATTGTGCGTGTGCATTTGATGTAGTGTCCTGTGAATGGGGATGAAGGTTGGGCGAAAGAAAACGTATTATGTGTGAGAAAGAGAATTAATCTTGAATTCAGAGCTTTTTTTTTTTTGGAGATGTGTAGGTCTCAGCAGTACCTGTAAACAGTCAGATGCTAATGGATAGAAACAAAACAGCATGAGGTTTCCATCAGACAAAGCTTTTGGGAATAATGTGTTAGATATGCACAGAGAGCGAGTGAAAAAGTGCACAAATCTGTTTTCAGCGAAAACCAAACAGAAGTTGCTGGTAACAAGCGGCAACGTAAAATGGCTGCCCTCTGGTTTTGGCCATGAGGGGCCAATTGTTAGCGAATGACAAATAAGTCCCAAACGTATGCATATGTTAGCGGCTAGCAAGCATAGCTAAACTCACTTGAAAGACTTCAACGTGCACCGAGCCGAGTCACACATACGCTTCCATATAAAGTCTGTGTGAATCCAGCATGCTGTTTCCTCGTATCGACACAATCTATTGATTTCCTTTGAAAACAATTTTAAATTGACATATTTCCTCTGCACAGATCGATGCAGTTGGATCGTAGAAATATAGATCAATACGTTTATGTTGCGGATGAATCATGACACTTGCTAAATAGAAATTAGCCATATTTAATAATATTGCCAATACTTCTATCCGTCCTGTTGTTTCCTCTTTTACAGTCAAAATGGCTGCTGTGAAAAAGGTCATTTAAACAACAAAGCTAGTGTTAGACCTCGATTTTAGCTCAACACTTGGCTTTGCACTGAGCTTTAAACAAATTAACTGATCCATGTTCATCAGCATACTCACATCAGGGCAAATGTTTTTGTTTTTCATGTTTGGTGTGACCAGTTGAGCAAAAGAAATAAGTTTGTTGTCAAGGTTGAAGTGACCATGCTTGTGTGCACCCATGCGCGCGCCCGAGTGTGCATACGTGTGCATGGAGATGTCTGTGTGGTAGCGTGCCGTACTTGCCCTTTCCAACAGTGGGGCCATTACATTCCTCAGGTTGTTGGTATTTCAAGTAAATGACAGCTGAACATGAAGCAAGCTCTGCCAGCGCCTTTCTGCTTGCTCCATGTTGTAAACAGGATATCTAATACAATGGTGCTGGGGAGGTGGAGGACAAATAAATGTCAAATGTGGTCAAATTTATTTCGTAAGACTACTTGTACAGTCAACCGCTGCCTCGTCACAAATTTTGGGGAGAACTTACCCTCCATTTTTTTTTTCCGAAAAACTCACCTATTCACTGTTTTTCTGCTCATGCCAAACCAATCACGGAATTGCTTTGGCACCATCTGGTGGTAGGTTGTTGCAAATGAACTTTTGAAGGAAGCCGAGGAGCTTCATTTCGACAAAAGTCGTCCTTGTGGAACCGATTGACAATTACAGACACAGAGGTGCCTTGAGGCACACGTGACCCAACGTGAGTTTTTCAAGATTTTGAGCCGTTGTTTGGCTGATTTGTATTATTGTTGGTATTTTTCTATTGTTTTGTTTGCTTTTACATACAAGCACATTTTTAAGATTCTAACCTCTGTATACTGTAGCGGCAATGAACTCAACTCACTTCACAACAAGTAGTAATTTGGCAGATAATTCTTCAAAAGGGTCTAAAAGCTGTTTGATGCCACTCCCAGCGGAGTTTTACTCTCAAACTAAACACCAAGCAAAAAGAATTCCACGTGTATTTTTAAACAACCACATACTTTGCCTTTAGAAAGTTGGCCTCGCTTAATGCTCACAAAAAAATGCAAAACAGTATAGAAGGGGCTAACACAAAGCCAACATTTGGCGTTGTTAAAATGCTTGAAGCAACGCACGTAGATTGACGGTAACAACACTCAAAAGCATATATGCTTTATATCCTGTCGGAAAAATGACTAACAAACATTACTGCAACTTACCCAATCACTTAATTCACGTAGTTGTGAAGCTCTTCTTCTTTTGGGCCTGCATGACTGTACCATATTGTCCCCCTTGCCCCAAATTGAATACAACAGAAGAAGCCGCAGTGATGTACAATCTGTTTCATAATAATAATAATAATAATAGTGTATTTAATTGTGTCTAATTGTATTATAACGACACATTTTTACAAAGTACAGTTTCATAAAGTGCTATTTTCATTATTCAGAAATGCATTCATAAAATGTTTTTGGCAGGGTGGCCGCAGCAGATTAATTCCATTTCCATGAGTTGTAAGTGTGATCACAGAACAAATAACACTCATATCTCAAGGCAGTACAGAATAGTATAAACCTATTCATGGCAGGGATGCAGCGGTTGACTGTCCATGTTGTTTTCCCCAAAGGCTCACCATAGAAGGCCAACGTTATCATCAATAGCGGTCTGTTGAAAATGGTGATTGTCCTAAATGAGCACGTGTTCCTCTGTCCTCAGAGTTCTCTGCAGGAGTTGAGCCCATCCCCAAAAACCTCCTACATGGACACATGACCAGCAGCAGATGACACAAACTGAAGAACACCCACAAACAAGCAAACAAACAAAAAAAAAAAAAAATGGCAAAGGAAACGAATGGCAACAAGTCACTGCTTTCGCACATACTGGAAGGGTAATCGTAGTTTTTAACAACAATTTTTTATTATTAAAAAAAACAACAACATGAGGACAAACTACTCAAGTAGAAGCATGATTTCCTATAAAACAAAACGGACACAAAAGTAGCACCCCAAACATGCTTCCTGTTGTCTGTCAGCATGAGCGACTGCTGCCGCATGGCCTGTGTTTAAATACAAATACCGATGGTGGATGGGGAAGGGGGGAGGGGGGGGCGACTGGGTCGATTCGGCTATGTGGATACAGGCATGCAATATGGGGTATTGTACGTGTAATCCAATCGGGAAACATTGATCTAACTTTTCACAAAATGGGAGCAATAACAGCTACAGACGTCGAGGTGACCTATGACCTCTCCTCCAACAAAAAGCAGAAATTGGAAGCTTAGCAGTGCTACAACCATCAACTAAGGATGTGTGTCTTGTACATATTACGGTATGCACTTAACTGCGGTGTTGCATTGTTGTTTAACATCTTCCTGATGCTGCTACGGTATTCCTCCCTTTTCTTCCCCCTCTCAATCTGAACCTATACTCTCTTATGATATTATATCGACTGTATCTTGTGTGTGGACAGCAACATACAAATGTGATCTGCCGTTTTTCCATGCTCTCCATGTGTTTTTTTTTCCCCTCTGGCTTGACACACAGAGGGTCCATTTACTGTTACAGTGTGTAGTGTGCTTGGGGGTGAAGGAGGCCGTGTGCGAACCTTCGCGCCATTAAAACACTGTAAATGGCAGTTAACCTGGAGGAGTTACGTCACAATTTTCTTACACTCGTGAGGTTTGTGTTCATCCGTAGAAGGCAAAATGCAACTTATGCATTCTTCTAAACCATGTAGCGTTACAGTACTGCCCACCTCCAGAATCCATGATGGTCTCCAAAGTCACCCCCCCACCCCCCCTCCATCCATGAGGGAAAAAGGATGTCACGTATTTTGCTGAGGGTCGTCTACGTGTTGAGCTCTCATGTTTGTCTCCTTGGCTTTGCGTGGACATATTGCAGAGCCGGCCAGCAATCACTGTGAAGAGAGACTGAGCCACAACTGTGAGCCCACCCTCGCTCAAGCGTGTTTAGTTTTCATTGTGTCTCATGCTGAGGAAGCAATAAGCGCACTAATAAAAGAACACGGAGAGAGGATTCCGGGGGTCGCAGTCGGGTTTTCAGTCTGTGGGTCGCAGCTTTACTCCATTCAGAAATGATGTCAGCACATTAGAATTGCACATTTTGATCACTTTGCCTCTTTGAGAAACTATTATTTTAAATCGTTTAAAGAGGTCATTTATTTGAGATCACGGTCCTGATTACGGAAAATGTCCTCATGCTGATCGTTTGTCAGCAAAGTGCTTTGCACCAACTGTTTTGTTGGTCACCGTCAAAGCTAATTCCCAAGTTGAATGATCGATTTACCTCGGTAAATGTACCATTTCACATCATTTAATTACAGTAAGCCTTTTCTTCTTTGGGTTGTGTTGACTACCTGTTCTTAGTCTCACAAAAAGTTGCAATAAACATGGATCTATGATGTGTTTGTTTTTTTAGCAGCCACAGATGAATGTAAAGTCTTGGTAATACTGTAAATGTTATGTGTTGATGCAGTGACTATGCTAATAGTAGATGAGACGTATACTGTACGCTCTGTATTTGCTGTCGATCATCATCCTCATTGCAAACAAATGTTACACTAATTTCAATGAAGCCACCAACTTTTTTTTTGTTTTGTTTTTTGTTTTTACATCCAACCATCATTCACAGTATTTTTTCTATTCGATGCATTTCACTACACCAATGAGGTCAAGAGAACGCGTGTAATGCTGTACTTTCCCTTATGTTTTGCTCAGAAGGGCTTTGTTTTTGAAGCAGGGGCTGTTACTGATGTCAGGGTTGGGGTTGGGGATCTATTAAAGACATTAGATGGGTGCAAATAAAAAAATCTCGATGGCTCCAATGGTTAGATGATGACAAGTATTTTCCCTCAACGCAGCCCACCCCCAATGCGCTCCCCCACGCCTTACCCTATACTCTCCAGTATATTCTTACAAAGGCTTCCACATGGCGACACGCTGAATGTGGAGGAGTCTTGCTATGTGCACGCAGAGGGATGCTTTTTCACTGATGAAGAGACGACTGAAGTGACGGCATGCACCAATCCATGCAAAAACATTTCCATTGCAAAAATTAGGGAAGACATGTACTGTATATTCCTTTTAGAATGGATGGATATTAACGCAATAGCATATTACTCAATACTAAGGAATGCAAATGCACACATGCACAGAAAATGTTTTTAACATAAAAGGCTCTATATATATAGATATATATATAGATATATATATCTATATATATATGAGAATATGAGAGAATATATATTTACTTAGAATGCTATGCACCTCTCCGTGTCAACTGGGATTCTAGTTATGTTATGGATGTACTTTTAGCATCAAACCTTCAGATGTAGCTACAAAGAGACTGTTGTTGACTTCTGGGTAATGCCTGCACCTGAAGATGAATAAGGGTCTCGCGGGTATTTGAACTTGTTTTGTTTGCATTTTTTTATTATTGTTATGGGGAATCAAACATGAATTTTAAGTCGACATGTTAAAAAAAAAACAACTTTCAATCCAATCAAATCCAAGAACATCTGTTGACGACCTTCTCTGTACACCAGCTCAACATTTACAAAATTAATAAAGAAATGCAATGTGTTTGTGTGTGTTTTCTTTCTGATGAGACACATCATGCAGCTCTCCCTTACACTTGATCTATAACATCATATTGATGAAAAACAATGTTTTGGTTCGTTTATGAACAGAAGTCCAATATCTGAACACCACTTGGTTTCTGATACTGTTGTTCCTTCCAATCACACTCTTCCAAGTCTCACTGTTGTTTCCCGTGTGAGCATTGAAGCAGAATGAGGGAGTCCCTTGTGGGAGTGTTCACTAGCATCCCCTCTAGGCACTTCAAGAAGGATGGGAACTTTGAACTGCTGTTTGAGCACATCCATCAACCACAGTCAGGGGGAAAAAAACTGGGAGGGAGGCTACGCTCTCATCCACAGGGATGAACCCCAATGTACAGACACTGATCCGGAAGGCAAAATTATTGTGCCTCTCACTGTGGCCAACTCCAGCCTAAGTATATCTAGTCGGAACTGCTACACTCCATACACCCGCTCAAGCTCCTTCCCTGTCACAGAGGTGACATTCCATGTCCCTATCGAGCCAGTTTCTGTAGCCTTTTCTTCAAGTCTATATATGTTACCTTTGGGTCTGTTTGTTCAAATACGATTACATTTTTAAAAGGGGGACTCGAACAAAAATGCCGGCAATAGCTCAAGGTTTTTAAAAGTAAAGATAGTTTGCAATTTTGGCATTTTAGCAAGTCAATGCACATAAGTGGCTTTTGCATAAAATGATAAGAGTTTGACACATGCGCGTTTGTGTATCCATCCATCCATCCATCCATTTTCCGAACCGCTTTATCCTCACTAGGGTCGCGGAGGGGTGGGGGGGGGGGT